GCATGGGGATTAATATTATTTTCAGAACAGGTAAATGAGTCCTTTTTAGATTTATTAGCATTTTATTTAATGTCACTTGTTTCTGGTGCAGTCAACAACTTACCCATGGGATATCCCGTCCTGCAGCAACCTCCAGTTCCAGCTGCAGGTCAACCTCATCTTGATCCAATGGGCATGTCCAACTGCCACGTGGTTAATGGTGTGCCTGCACCAGGAAACTATCATCCGATGAGGATGAATTCAGGAAACGAGTGAGAATCTCTCTTTGTTTAGGATTTTAGGCCTCTTTGATTCTAAAATAGAAATTTATGAGCTATTTAATTTTTTTCCTGGTTAGCCAGATGGCTGTGGTACTTGTTTCAGTTGTTTGCTCAGCATCTTACTTGCCATGTGCTCAAAGAGTTGCCATTTGACTATTTCCAGTACATCTAATTCGCGGTTTCCCAGAGTTAGTAGGAACTGAAATTGCATTGATGTTTCATATTGGTTTAAAATGAGTGTAGATTAGGAAAAGATGTTGCTCTTATGTAAATATTTCAAACCTAGTACTTGTTTCTTGTTGTCCATGCGTTGTTTGTTAAGGAAATGAGGTTCATGTCTTCTTTTTAATGATGATTAAGTAAGCTGATTGTCGAAGTGAATATATCTTTGGGCTTCTGGGATGAAAAGATGTTTATATTTGTTGAAGGAGACGTGGCATGACAAATGACACTTTACACATTGTTCTCTGCTGACAGGATGGTGATTGATACCAGTGTGGCAGATGTAGCAGCAGCTGTTCCACCTGGCAATGCCATGTCATCTATGTCAGATATGGCTGTTAGCCCTACATCAGTAGCTTCCAGCGGCCATTTTCCCTTTACCGCTTCAGAGATTTCGGGTATGGGAGTTGACACCTCAGCCCTTGATGCTGCCTTTCCATCTGATGTAGCAAGTTCAGTGGGATTACAACTACCACCAGATAATGGTGTTGGTAATTCTAGGGATTCACTTAGATCTTTGGCTCAGATTCCTTGGAACTTTAGTCTTTCAGATCTAACAGCAGATCTGTCAAACTTGGGAGGTAAGTTAACTTATGCACAACTCAAACATTATCGCTGCTGATGAGCGAGATTCAGCATTCATTTGCAATGTGGTTCAACCCCCCTCCCACTCCTTTGGTACTTCCTTTGTTGTTACGAAGAGTGTTTGATTTGAGAACTTCATTATCGTCCTATTTGAAGTATTGCCAATGGGCACTTTTGACAAGTCATAATGTGAAGTTTGTAATAAAGTGAAAGAATTTTCCGTAAAAAAGTGAAATGGTCATGGCAAGAAAATCTGATCCGTTGGACTTATAGAATTACAGATAAAGTCCATCAGCCTAAAATGAGAAATTTACTTTGAAGGTCATTGTAGTTACTCCATTAAGCAGTCTTTCATGTTAATAGTCAACCACGGCAAACGGTAACATGTAATTTCAGAGGAAGCATGGTAAGTGTATACATATTTAGTGTACTTCTAAGCTCAGTAGGAACGTTTGTATGGGAAAAAATCATATTGTCTACAATTGAAACCTTATGATTGTTTTCAAGGATTATCACAGTTCTATCAAGGTTCTTGCTTTATCTCTAATAATGCAAAGATCTTTACTACTAGATGGTATTGACGATTTGAACTGTCTGGCCCTGGATATTTTATCTCTGAATTGGGCTTTCAGAAAACTTGTTGTAGTTTTTAGATTGGGGTGCCTCCTTCCACCTTAGAGCCAAAAATATCTTTAGAATTTCGGGGAAGTCGTCTTTCTTCATTTTTTAGGAAATGCTTATAGATTTCGGCTCAGCAGTAGAGCACCACTTGATATTTATTTCTAGTCAGTTGTGGACTTTGTTAGCCAAAACGAGATCCATTCGACAGGAAAATAGACTAGTCTATGGCGGACTGGCTAGAATGCTCTGTGCCCAGATAGATTTAGGTGGCCAGCCTGTGGGGATATACATTCATACTCGTCAAAAACCTTTATTTTCAAATAAGGACATACTTTTCAAGGACTTCTAGTATGGACTTGGTTGTTTGTTGTTATGTCGTGGTACTGATTGGCAAATCAGACTATGTGACTGCAAAAATGTTGCATCACAATATTCTTTTCCAGGCAACAAGGAGCAATGCTCTAAATACATTTACCGATGTTTCATGTATGATATGTCAACAACAACATACCTAGTGTAGTCCCACAAGTTGGGGTCTGGGAGGCTAGTGTGTATGTATACCTTACCAGTTACCCCTATTTTGCGAGCCTATCCCTGTTCTTTTTTCTTTCTTTTATTAATTTATTCCTTGTTTATCCTGGTTTTGATGTTCATTTTTACTCCAATATAATTACAGATCTAGGACCTCTTGTGAACTATCCGGGTTCTGCATATTTGCCGTCTGATTCAGATATTCTACTTGACTCGCCTGAGCAAGATGATATAGGTGAGAACTTTTACTTTCTTGCCCATCAAATGTTATGCTTTGAATCATAATCTGCAGAGATGTTCAAAGTATGTCAGCATTAAGCATCTCAACTTGTCTGTTGTTTTTAGCCGAAGTTGTTAGATGCAACGTTGATTTTGTGGCGTTTACAGCAACATACCCAGTGTAGTCCGACAAAGGTGGGTTTGGACTCTGGGTGGGTAAAGTGTACGCAGATCTTACCTTAAAGTGTAGAGGTTGTTTTTGATATAGACCCTCTTCTCAATGAAAATAGTCCAAAACAGTCCCAAATAAGAAGTAATGGGAGTACAAGAAACAAGTAATAACAAACATAGCAGATAGTAACAGAATGGTGACTACAACAACGCAATATGATAATCAAGGTACAAGAAAGAACAAATAGTTACAGAAATCGAAGGACAAGAAACTACATGAGCAATACTACAACTACGAATATGAACAAGACAACCCACTGCCTCTTACGAAAACTTTCAGAAACACAATGCCGTTTTCTTTTTACAAAATTTTCTTTTGTTTGTCATCTCACTTCTGATCTTTGTTCATGCATTCTGGCTTTCATCTGCTTTATTTCCCGTCAACATGGAATATTTACTTCTACATTGCAAGTTTCTGATTGGCTCATAAGTTAGATGCAAAACATTGATACATGTGACTTTCTGCATCTCCACACACTTCTCTCCGGGAATATCTGTTTTCTGTGAAATACAGTTCATTTGGTTATTATGACAGTGTCGTTGAAATGCAGACTAGAGTTCTTATGTTTGCTTGCATTAGCTTGATTTGGTCTTTTTGTTCTCCTTTTCTTTTCAGTAGAGGAGTTCTTTGTTGATGTTGAGGCCTCTCCAGAACCAACTGGTCCTCAATCAGATGAAGAGAAGCCATAGAGTTTCAACTGAGATATTAACGTCGCGTTGCATTTGAAGTCAGAACAAGTCTATTGTAAAATGGTTATAAAGCTGATGGATTGATGAGTTGAAAACATTTGAATCTACCCTTTGTTAGCTGTGCTAGATATAGCTATTAACCAAATTTAGAAAATACTTCACCTTTGGATTATTTTAGTGATCAGATCTTCATTTCATCAGTAGAAACAGGATATGTTAAAAGTGAAAATAGTCTATCAGAAAGGATTTTATCATCCATATTTTGTAGTTAATCAAAAAAGTTGCTATATTTGCTTTTGGATGATTGATAGTATATGTTTATGCAAAGTCTGATGTATTAAAATTCAACTTGGTAGGATCAAGGATGTCAATTACGAGTTTTATTGGTTTAATTAGTTAAAGATAACTAAGATTTGAAAATTATGAATCGGACTTCATCTTTAATAAGAGGTTTCAGTTTAATGCTTGAAAATAAAGTTGCTTATAGTGGGCAGCTTTGTTCTCCGAACTTCGAAGTATGACTTTCTAAGTCTAAATTAGTTGACCTCAAAACATGACTTTTTAGCTTAACTCTGAATTAGTTAGACCTCAAAACGATCTGAGAAGAGTTGAATCAACTTGATTTTATAAAATAATAAAAGATTGATATTATCAAATCTGTCAAGTGATTGGTCAAAATAATTTAATATCTTATTCAGAAGAATAAAATTGTGGAAAATAAGAATAGAATTCTATTTAAACTCTAACTTTAATTTAATTAGGAATCAAATAATTTTAATATAATTTTATTCGGTAATCAATTTAATTATAAATTAGAATAAAAGAAGATTAAAAATCAAATCGAATGATAAGCACTCTACTTAGTTTTAAGTCACATATAGCAAACAAAAAATTTATATTTGTATGTTATAGCAAACTTTGCATAATTGCGCTTCATAGCAAACATAAAACTGTATAATTCGCTATACATATACAAGTGTATAATTCGCTGTCCTAAATTGTATAATTCGCTGGCCTATTTCGCTGCAATTGTATAATTCGCTATCCTATTTCACTGCAATTGTATAATGCACAATTGTGTAATTCACTGCCTATTTCGTCTGCAATATTAAGTGTATAGCAAGAAGATATATGTTTTTCTCTCGCTTTATACAAAAACAGAAACACAATATATACACTTCTGTTGTATAAAGCTAGAGAAAATTGTATTTCACTGCAACTGTATAATTCACAATTGTATAATTCGTTGACCTTTTTCTCTTCAATATTTGAAGTAAAATATTTGTAAATTGTATAATTAAGTGTATAACAAGAAAATATATATTTTTGCATGTGTATATACAATTTTCTCTCGCTTTATACAAAACAGAATCAGAACTATACACTTCTGTGTATAAAGCGAGAGAGGCGAGCGAGATTTCTGGGAGAGAGACGCTGGCAAATTTTAGCTAACGTTTGCTATGGAGCATAATTAAATCAAACCCTAGTTATTCCATTTATTTTAGGTTATTAGTTTGCTATTATATACAATTTTCCCTAGTTTTAATTATTGAATGCCCATAATAATATTGATAACTAAATTGATAATTAAATATTAATAAATTAATAATATTTATTTTTGATTATATTAAAATATTGATTTACACTAATCACTGGTGGCTGAAAGTTAAATGGTAGTAGGTAGAAGGGTAACCGTAATAGTATATGTTTAGTGCAACAAATTCTCAGTCGACGAAAAGTAAAAGACGACTACAACCTTCGCCGGCGCCGGAATTTAGATTGAACTGAGAACATAACGGCCGGTAGGTATTCTGAAGCTTGTATGAGATCCTTTTTTCTAGTTCCAAAAATAGACCCATTCTTCAACTGATTCATAAATTTGTTTGATTTCTTATTAGCAAGTGAGGAAGATGGTGAAGGCAATCATAGCACCGTCGATGCTGTCATCGGACTTTGCTAATTTGGCCTCTGAAGCAGAGCGCATGCTCAATTGTGGTGCGGATTGGCTCCATATGGACATCATGGTAATTTTTGTTCCTTCCTCTTTCTAGCATTTGCTAAGTTATTTTTTTTTATCTTCATTATCAATTGTTTCATTGAAGTTAAAAAGAAAGATGTTAGTTTTTAGCAGAAAACTGTAGCTGCTTGAAGTTAGAAAGAAATATGTTAATGTTCGCTACAGAAAATTGTAGCGGCTTGTGAGCTCTTGTTTTTACCATCTTTTGGTTGAAATTTAAGGAACAGATCTTTAAAGTTTTAATGCAAGTTGTTATTAGCATTGCGTGAATAGAGTGACGCAAATTAGCAATACAGAGGATTCATGGAGCTCTGCATTGTAATACGAGAGTGATGCGTAGTTGATTGGTTGGTAGTTTTTTGTTTTTCTGAGAATTGTGGTGTATGGGCCAGCTTTCGCATATCTCGATTAATTTTCTGCGACGTACCTATCACCTCCCACCAGCAACAGGTACCGGGTGATTTTGTCCACCAAGGCTAGGATGGATAGGATAGTGTGTTGTTATTAGCTAGGTCTTTAAAGGCAATTGTTATGCAGAACAATGTAATCTCCTATGTAGTTGAGTATCATGAAAACAAAGTGGAAACATTGTATTGAGAAGCTGATGTGAAGAATTTGCCAAACTATTGAATTCTTGCATTACTTTCCCCTTCAGTTTTCAACAAGTAATAGGCAAACTATAAGCTATGTGACATATTTGGAGTGTCTAATGAAGACTGAGAGAATCAGCTTCAATGACGACATTTTATACTTTGGGACCTTCTTGGTCCATTTAATGAAATGTCTTTTGCTTATCAAGAAAGAGACCATATAGTTACTAGTAACTATAATGACAGTAAGAAGGCTTATTGTACTTAAAAAATTAGAAGATAATATTGCACTTTACAAGTAAAGGTTAAATAGGTTTCTGATAACATCTGGACTTCCATTTTTAAATAATATAGTGGTTACCTTATTTATTTAGGTACAGTTCCATCTCTGAGGCTGTACATATCATGTGAAATTATCCCCTCCAGGATAAACTAGGTAGTTGTGCCAGTTCCTCTTGTTTGCTGTAACCCTATAGCACAATGAACTAACTAAATTGAGCTTAACCTCCTCAAGCTGGAATATTGATTGGTCTAGAATTGAGAATCCTATGCCAAGTGTGCTTCATCTGCTTCTTCTTAGATTGTGTTATAAGTGATACCTTCAGTCTTCTCTTCTTTAGCTCAATTGGTTTGGATATAAAGTGCTGTTGAAGTTGTTCCTTTAGTCACTTCATTCATCAATCATTAGCAGTTACTGAATGTTGTATTTGTGCATTGCAGGACGGGTAGGTCAGTTAGTCAGGTCAAGCTCTGGTTGTATCCATGTTAAAATGATGGGTGGATAGTTGAATAAAAATTCTGCTCGTTGGATTTTTTTCAGATTTCTAAACACAAAAGGCACTGTAATACTCTTTTTTTCCCACTTGTCTGTTTTGCAGTCACTTTGTCCCAAACCTTACCCTCGGTGCTCCAATTATCGAGAGTCTGAGAAAGCATACAAAGTATGGTTTAATGATTTCTTAATGATTTCTCTCTTTCAACTTGATTTTTCTTGTCCATAATTTATTTATCGTACAATGAAGTTGTTCTAAATTTCTACAGGGCATATCTGGACTGCCACCTAATGGTCACCAACCCCCTTGATTATGTGGAACCGCTTGGCAAAGCTGGTGCCTCAGGCTTTACGTTCCATATTGAGGCATCTAGAGGTGTGGTTTACTTTGCGCTCTAGATCCATGAAGTATTTGAGGGACAGTCACTTTTTAGCGTTTGTAAGCTAATGTTAATATCTGTTCACTAGAATGTGATTTAGATAGATTGACTGATGTAGGGAAATGATGGGACTAGGGTATAAACTATGAGTAGTTAGTCGAAAAGGTTCAATAAAGAGGCTAACTGCATGTCAGTGTATTAATTAGTGGTGGTGGAACATTGTTGCATAAATATTGCTTTGTGCCCTAAGTACATTGAGTTGTTTTACTCTGTTTGTTGTGGAACAATTTGATTTGCTAATTGTTTTACTAGTTTAATGCAACCAAGACTGGAAAATGGTTTCCAGTAAAATATTTTGTACTCACACCTAAAAGATCCTTGATTTCTGCTGTCTTTGTTATCACAACTTTCATTTCTGTTACAAAGAAGGTATTAATCTTTGCAGATAATTGGCAAGAGCTTGTTCAACGGATAAAGTCTAAGGGCATGAAACCTGGGGTTTCTTTGAAGCCTGGTACACCAATTGAAGAAGTGTACCCACTGGTAGTTATTCATTATCACATTTTATTAGTTTTATTAGCGAAAGGGTCAAGAATATAACAGAGTTTTGAAAAGGAAATCACTTGTTGCTATTGCTGTTAGTGAAACAAGAACAAATTTAATGATATCTTCAAAATACCTGTCATGATACACCAGTTTGCATGTATATTTTACAGCTTGATGGTGAAAACGCTATCGAACTGGTCCTTGTTATGACTGTTGAGCCTGGTTTTGGTGGACAAAAGTTTATGCCAGAGATGATGGATAAGGTGAGAAAACAATTTGGCATTCTCAAAATTGGAGATCATTCATCATTTTCTGCATAATAACTTAAAGAGCCTCTCTTTCAATTTTTAGGTACACACTCTCAGAAAAAAGTATCCATCACTTGATATAGAGGTGAGCTTTTGTTTCTTGATGGTTTAATTCTAGTTTTTGGATATCCTGACATTTTCTCACAGACCATTCCCTCGTGCATTTTCCATTTCTTGAGTTATCATGTAGTCAAGTCGTACTGGGTTTGTGCTTAATCATCCGTATGAACTTTTGTGATACAGGTGGATGGTGGTCTAGGACCTTCAACCATTGAGGCAGCAACATCAGCTGGAGCAAACTGCATAGTTGCAGGAAGTTCAGTATTTGGAGCTCCAGATCCAGCACAAGTCATAACTTTGCTGCGAGGCAGTGTGGAGGAAGCTCAGAAAAGGAGTTGATTCCAGAAGAGGCAAGATCTCGTGTTGTATTTTAACAACTATTACCTTATTTATAATTTCCGCGGAATCAATATCTCCAGATGCCTGCACTTGTTGAGTTATCCAAGTTCTATTTGTTGAATAAGGTTAAAACATGTATTTATCATATCATCTTGAAACTTCAACACATATTGAGTTATCTAAGTTGTATTTTTGAATAATGTGAAATATCTGGTGCTGGATTTAGTTGAAGTCCATGAGACTGGATGTCACGTTTCCAAAATTTAAACTAAGAAATGTTGCTGTTATGTTTTACTCGATTGAACATATAAACATATAACATGATCACTAGAAAATAGGGGTACTTGCTTTTGAATATTATTAAATGTGTAAGGTGGTAGTCGGATATGATTTGAACATTTCTTGAAAAGTCGAAATCTTAATTTTCTATTATATGAGTATATGTTAGTTAAAGTCGAATGAACTCTATTTACCAATTTAATATACTAAAAAACAGAAATTGAACTTAAGAAAAACCGAATCCTAACGAATTAATTTGCTATGGCAATGTCATGGATTAATATTTTCAAAAATAAAAAATTATAAGTTGTGAATTCGAAGTTTTCAATACCGCACAATGCTCACCCCTACTGAATATATGGTCTAATATTGTATTTACACTAATATATAATTTAAATAATTTTTATTAGCCTCCCCTTCGTCTTAATTTATGTGAGACAATTTGACTAAATGTGAATTATTAAAATGAAAGAAATACTTTTAAATCTAATATCTTTGTATGATGATGTTAAAATGAATTTTTAAAAATTGATTTGATTTTAAATGTAGAAAGATGTGTTAAGCACAAATTGTGACAAAGAGAGCTAAGATATTGTTTTTATCCCTTAAATTTTATCACTTAGTTTTAGTTACAATTGATTGGATTTTTAGAAACAGATAATTATTTTATAAAAAGATTCTGTAGTATAAAACTTTGATACTGGTTAATATAAAGTTATTCTAATTTAATAAAGAGAATAAATTAAAGTAAATATTTAAGGAATCCCATAGTGTAATTCAATAATTACATTTTGTCCCGATAAAATTAGTATTTACAAAAAATCCCTTAAATTTGTTGTTACGTGATACTTTAGACTCTAGTGATACATGGTAAGTTTAAACTGTTGAGAAAAAAATGGGGAAAAAACGGTACAATTAATTAATGTTGTTACTAAAACAGCTTAATTTAAGGTAATAGATCATTAATCACCATAAAATCAGCATGTAATTGGATAACATTTTCCCCTATGTATAAGGTAACAGATCATTAAACATTTGGATAACATTCTTCCCTATATATTTTTCAAAGTCCTTTAGGAAATTGTTGTTAAAATTGACAGCAAACCTTATGGGATGTGTTGGTATCTTTTTAATCTTGTACTTCAGTGGCTGCAATTTGAAAATAAAACAGCAAATTATAACGATATTGAAATATAAATACTAAATAAAACAACTAATAACTTACTGATACATGGTTTCAGTTTTCAGAAATTATACTACATGAAAAACATGTGATACATGTCTACTACATGTATCAGTGAATTAACTAAAACATTATAACATGTGATACATATCTAATACATGTATCAGAAACATCGACTAAACAATATACACACTGATTCTATATGTATCATCAAGTACAATGGATGACACATTTATTAAACTTAGTGAATGATACATTATAACAATTTTCAAAACATGTATCAGTACATCAACTAAACAACTAATACCTTACTGATTTATGAAAGTGAATATCATATATATATATATATATATATATATATATATATATATATATATATATATATACACATACATACACACATCATTTGAACCTTTTGTAAGGTGACCGTTCATTTTCATCTGCTTGCCTCCAAGAACAAGAAGATTACCAAATTCATCTGCTTTTTGGTTGTTCGTTTAATCTTTCCTCTGATTGGAATTTGTTTCTTCGGTAACTGAACTTGGGGGTTTAGGATTTTTATTTTTGGGAGTTGTTAAGCATGTGGGTTTACGTTGAAGTTGCAATGGCTGAGTAAGTAATCTTTAAGAGAAGGAAGATGATTATGGAAAAAAAAAGAACTGAAACTTGATGGAGTAAGAACAAAACGGGAGAAGTTAAGAGAAGTTGTCCTGATTTTTGAAATTTCAAAATTTTTGAATTTTGAAATTCAAAATTTCAAAATTGGGTCTTTTATTTAAAATTAATAATTCAAAATAAAAAAACTGATTTAAAAGGTTGAGTGTTTAAATGGAGAAAATTCAAAATTCAAAAACTGATTTAAAAGGTTGAGTGTTTTAATGGAGAAAAAATAGGCATTAAAATGAATAATTGTGTATTATAGGAGAGAGAATGTAATGTATCTATAAACTTACACTAAAATTAAAAAAAAAGGAATTATGTAATATTTAAAAAAAGAAGGGAAAATTAGAGAATAGAAACTTATAGTTGTGTATTTAAGTTATTTTTCCTAAATTAAAAAAAATAGGAAGTTATGTAATTCCCTATTTGGGCCAATAGTATCATCCACTACACATTTTGGGCCCAAAAATTTTCAACCCAAATTTAAGTTGGGCTTTAAGAGACAACACACATATATATATGCAGCCGCGCTTCTTTATCAAAAAAAACCCTAGTGTCTCTCTAACCCTAGCAGATTTCTCAATTCATTTCAGCAGGTCGCCGATTGAGGACGGCGCCGTCAACCGGTAAACATGGTGCACGTTTCCTTTTACCGCAACTGTAAGGTTCCTTGATCTCAGTGTACATTTCATATGAATGATTATGTTCGATGTTTGCATGGATTTATGTTAGTTTGCTTAGATTAGTAAAAATGTGGAGAATTTACAGTGTTAGCAACCTCCAGCTTATCTTGAAAAGTAAATTATTTGAGTATTGGGATGATACGGATCCATATGGAACGGAATCGACTGAATGAATTAGTATGATTGAGGCTTAGCATGATCTGTTGATGTTTTTGTTATATTATAATAGTTACTTTTTGATGTAAGATAATGCAGTATTAGTACTGTCGCCTGATTATGCCTATTGAATTGTTCCATCTAAAATTAGATGGTTGTTAGTATTACTCTGAGCTGAGATATAGTGGCCTAGTTGTTCTGTCTCAGTTTTGACCTTTAGGTTGTATATGATGGTATTTTCAACTTAAGTGAGAGTTGCCACAATTAAAGTTCATTTTTTTGTCAGAGAATTCTCTAAAAGCTAATATAGGTTCTTCTTTCAATTTAAATTGAGCTGCAACTGTGTTAAAAGTCTCCTTAAAATCTACAGCCTAGTTAGGACAATTTGATGGGGTACTTTTTTGTTTTGGGGATTGGTTCAGAATTTACCATGTCACTAAAGTAGATATGGTTTTAAGTCTTTGTTTATTTGCTATTCTGGTGTGATAATCAGATGGGAAGACCTTTAAGAAGCCTCGCCGTCCTTATGAGAAGGAGAGGTTGGATGCAGAGTTGAAGCTTGTTGGAGAGTATGGACTGAGGTGCAAGAGGGAGTTGTGGAGAGTTCAGTATGCTTTGAGCCGTATCAGGAATGCTGCAAGAATGCTTCTGACCCTTGATGAGAAAGACCCACGTCGTATTTTTGAAGGTGAAGCTCTTTTGAGGAGGATGAACAGGTATGGGCTGTTGGACGAGAGCCAGAACAAGCTTGATTACGTCTTGGCACTCACTGTTGAGAACTTCCTCGAACGTCGTCTGCAAACACTTGTCTTCAAGACTGGCATGGCCAAGTCAATCCACCATGCGAGAGTGCTCATCAGGCAAAGGCACATCAGGTAAAAACAGTTTGTTTCCATCACATATTGCAAATAGTTAAGCTGTTTTTACCCCTTCTTTTGGGTGGTTCTGTGAAAGTAGATGATAACATTTGTAACTGAATCCCTCAAGTGTAATAAGGGGAATATTGGGAGGTGCTTGTCATTTTTTCCTGTCCTGTATAGTTTTATTGAAAGAACTATAACACTTGCATCTAGTTTAGGATATAAATGTTTTTAAGGTTTAGAAGGTGTCTTTGTTCCCCTTTAAGGTTTAGAAGGTGTCTTTGTTCCCCCCAAATATCCCCCAACAATAATATAGGAATTCTTACTACAAATTGCTGAATAAGATTATATGTTTCTTTAAGCAAGTTATTGTATGATTTATTCTCTCTGAACCTACAAAGATGAGTGATGTTGGCACAGTGAATTCTTCTTGGTGTATTCTCGAATAACTTTGATGTATTAAATTGCAACTAGGTTTTCACTTTTTGTGGAATATGTATAACCATTTCATTTATTATCATTCCTTTTATATGTTAATAGAGATGTATTTTAGCGTGCTCTGAATTGCAAGGTTTCTAGGAGCCAAATGCTTATTTCGCGTGTATACACGTGATTTTCTTGCATTGGGGTAAGTCTGGTGTTGTTGGATTACAAGATCTTTGGTGGTTGTGTTCTTAGCCGTACATAGTAGATCTTGTTCTGTTGTAATCATGTGTAGTAGGGGGTTCTTGTTTTTTCTCCCTCCGTATAGTGGATACCTCGCGGAAGTACCTTCTGGTTATTTTTTTTCTGTCCTAATGTTGGATACTTATTTTGAGGTACCTTTAAGCACTTATTTTTTTGTTTACTTGTGTGCATTTCAATGAAGCTAAACAGACTGAACATTAACTGAATTGCAGGGTTGGAAGGCAAGTCGTGAATGTTGCTTCATTCATGGTGAGAGTCGACTCTCAGAAGCACATTGATTTCTCTCTAACCAGTCCTTTTGGTGGTGGGCGTCCAGGAAGAGTGAAGCGAAAGAACCAAAAGTCTGCTGCCAAGAAGGCTGCTGGCGGTGATGGTGATGAGGATGATGAAGAATGAGCTTTTGAGCAAGAATTTAAAGAAGAAGTGTGGCGACGGAATCGTTCATTTTTGAAGTTTTTAGTTACCTATGTAGTGCTTCCTTACATTCCTTTCTTCAATATTTTGATATCTTCATATGTTAGAAAGAAATGTTCTTAGCGGAGATTGTGAGAATGTTTTTATGTTTGGATTTTGCACTCATCTTAGAGTTTCAACAAAATGTTTTGAACAAGATTACCTCTTATTTTATGAGATAGAAGCAAGTTATTTACTCGCTTCAATCTTTTTCCTTAGACTGAAAATTTGTCTGCTTTTCTTCAACTAGACATGAATACAAATGGTGGTAAAGAGGGATTGTTTCCAAAAGATTTTTAGCTGTAGTTCAACAAATCACTGTTTAAAGGAAGA